ATAATCAGCTGGGCCTTTATACAGGTCACCCATAAAATTTAGAATTTAATGTAAGAACAAAATGCACAATAACAATCTTAAAAAATAAAAATATTATAGAATTCCAAACGATTACCTTTCTTTTTTCTCGTTTCAACTTTGAAATAAAAATGTCTTTGCTTCATCTAACGATCTTTTTTAATGATTTTACATTATTTAATTAGTTATTTGTATAATTATTAGCATGTGAAAATTTTTTTTAATAAATAGCCCAGTAAGAATAGCTCGTGAAAGAAATTAAAAAAATAAACCTATTATTACTTACTCCGGAGTTATCAACGTTTTTGGGCAGATGGGGGCAGACCCGTATATAACCTGACCGCAGTACTTAAGATTTGAATAAAGTTCTAAAGATTATCTGCTTATACACACGGTATAATATACGGTATATATATATATATATATATATAGTACAGTGACAATCTGGCAAATTGCTTATTCTGAAAGAGAATTTCTGTGTCTTTCCACGACCTCTCAGTAACCAAAATTGGATTAAACGTACTCGTAAGAATCAGTAAAATACAATACCAACTAGTTGGACAAGTTCTAGTTTGGACTAGTTCCAGTCAATAAAGAATGTTAGGGAACTGTACAAAAAGGTATATTTATTTATCGATATTTGACGATTGATCACTTACTCCGGATTTATGAAAAAGTATCAACATTTTGGACGAGATGGGGCAAACCCGTATATAAGCCGACACCAGTATTTAAGATTTAAATAAAGTTCTAAAAATTATCTGCTTATACAGGGAAATAAATATACAGTATATATATAAAGTGCAGTGATAGTCTGGCAAATTGCTTATTCGGAAAGAGAACTTCTGTGTCTTTCCACGACCTCTCAGTAACCAAAAATTGGATTAAACGCACTCGTAAGAATCAGTAAAATACAATACCAACTAGTTGGACAATTCCAGTCAATAAAAAATGTTAGGAAACTGTACAAAAAGGTGGAAGAAACATACAAAAAAAAAAAAAAAAAAAAAAAAAAAAGTAAAAAAACCAAAGGAAAAAAAATCTGTCAAAAAGGCGATCACGTCAGAAAATATTTAGGAAATGTTACCAAACTTTCTTTTTGTCCAAACTCAGTTCCCACTCCACGGTAAATGAAATCTTGCCGCTAGCCGTATTAACAGTTGACGATTACACTGCGCCCGCGTTTTTATTGTTCACTTCTCGGATTTTTTCTGTTAGATTCCCTTTTTTTTTACTGTACATTTTTTCTCTTTTTTTTTTGCCACTTCCGACTTTTGGCGTGACATTTAATTTCGCTCTTTAGTAGAATATGACCACTCCCTCTTCCCCTTTCCCCAAAGGGTGAGAATTTTTTATCATTATCTTATTATTATTACCTTTTTTTTTTCTTGAACTCTCGTAATTCTTTTCTTGGTGCTTCGTTCTAAAGAAGAACTGTTACGGGTTTTTACGTCGTAATTTTAATGCTCTCGAGTCTTTCCTCTCTTTTTCTGTTGATCCGACGGTGTTTTAGCAAATTGCATACATTTTTAAGGACGCCCACTTTTTTATTTATTTATTTTTATTTTATTTATTTTTTTCACTCGCATACTTGCATAAGGCGAGACAGCTCGAGGAAGATAAAAAAAAAATCCTTTTTCTTCATTGTTTGACGTGTATTAATGTACCGCGTCTGACACTTATTAATGAGTGTTGAAATGAAATTCATGGTAATTTTCCAAGTCCATAATAATTTTTACAGTCTTTGAAATGTGCTTTTTAATTTCGTGCACTCGCTTTCATGGCATCATATCAATGCATTTAGTTCTCGTAAATAATATTTTCTCGCCTGATAATAAATTTGCTTGCCTTTTATTATATATCATAAAAAGAGGGACACCTGTAAATTGATTATTGAATTAGTGTAATTTGATATTGTTTTGAAAGAAGATGTTATATGTATTTTTATAGTTAATTGGGCATCAAATTTCAATTACTTGAAGGGGGTCTATTTTTCTCCATGTTACAAAAAAGCTTTACTGAAAAGTTAATTTTGGAGAAGTGTGGAGGCAAATTTTAAAGTTTTAAGAGTTACTAGAGAGTTTTTGCATACCGTGCGTTAGTTACCGTAGGACGTCCGTTAGCTTTTTCTCCCTAGCGCGCATGCTCATAGGAAACAATTTCCTATGAGCATGCGCGCTAGGGAGAAAAAGCTAACGGACGTCCTACGGTAACTAACATACGGTATGCAAAAACTCTCTAATAACTGGAAAACTGTCACAAGCCAGAGATTGGAATGTAAGAAGGTTCTTGGAAAGGCCTCGACCCACCATGTGCTGTCGAATCAATAGAAGAAGTGACTCAACTTTTTTCTTATTTCTGTTTTTACACTTGTTATATGTAGTTTTTTTGCTTTGTTCAGTCCTTACAAGAGTGAATAAAGTAAATACTAGTTAGCAAAAATTTATTACCTAGGTACTAAAAGAAAGAAATATTTAATTCGCAGGATTCAAATACTACAAATAGCATTGCTGCAATTTAAAAATTGTTATTATCATGCCTGTTATTCTTGAAAATGATATTATCCTGCTGTAAGCTTCATGGTATCAAAAGTAAGTGATTAAAAACAGGGATTCGGGTGTGATTTTACCAGAATTCCATCAGTCAATAAAATAATAATTCTATTGGTCATAAACAGAAATTAACTTTAAAACAAATAGGGGCCTGATGGCCGAATGGCTAGCGCTCTGGCGTTCGATACCACAGATATCGGGTTCAAATCCCGGCGTTGCCATGGGTGTTTGTAGTGGTTCGGAATCCACTTTAAGCCGTTGGTCCCGGTCCTAATAGGATCGTAGAGCGTTGCGGGGGCATTGTTACTCCGCGTCCGTGGCTTACCATCAAGTTACACGCGCCCCCTGGGTAATGCAAAGTGAGTAACATTGGTGCAGCCCTTATGGCGAAGATCACGGTCTGTTTGCCAGCTGCATTAGAAGGAGAAAAAAAACAACTTTAAAATAAATATTAATCTGTTACGCGATTTAACTCGGAAAAAATAATAATAATTATCCTTTAATAATTTATCATTATTGAAAATTTTACGTTAAAATAATTTAAATGATACTTAAAAAGGAATACCGAACTTATGAATCACAAAACTACAACGTGTTAATTAATAGGATAACATGAAAAAAATATTTATGACCTTGCACAAAGTTTATAATGGATTCATGGAACTATGTAGAAACGATATAACAAAACATGATAGACAGATAAAAGCGTATATTAAATTTCATTTTACTCTTTTCAGAATTTGTGCACTTTCGCAATGAGTTGAATTGTGTTTTTACAAGAAAATGGAAAGTTCTTGAAACCAGATTGAATTACAGAAGTAGAGCCTGTAATTACAAGCGAAATTGAAGCTTTTTAACTTTCTAAAATAAATACGGAATTGATTCATTTCTTAAGAATTCATAACCAGATAAATTGATAAAAATCTGCATAAATATCCATCCTACACTAAAAAAAGAACCTAATAAATTATAATTTTACACATTTTGATAAAATGTGACGAACTGGTTTCGCCGAAAATGTGATGACATAAAATAGTATGGGTTGTCCAAAGTTCGTAAATAAGTTAGTTAAGTGATAAAATCTATTCACACAGATTAAATTGAAATTCGTAGACATTTCAACATGACATTCTTGGCAGACATTTGACATGTCTGTTTTCAACTAAACTATATTTAATCTTATCAAATTGTTAACAACATCCAAAGTAGTCAGTCACTAAACAATTCTCCTTTCTTAGTTGAATAGTAGTCTACTTAGTCGAATAATCTGCTATTTAATGTCTAGTCAATTAAAAGCTGTATTATCTGACATATCTAAAGAGCTGATGTCTGCATTTCTTTAAAACAAAATGAAATCATGGCACATTAAATCTGTGTAATTTCAAATATGTGTTGACTATTATACTAATTTGTCTGTAATAAATAACATTCAATGTTTTGAATGCAAATTTTAACATAATGATATGTAATTATAATTCTTTAAATTTTTACATATATGCATATTATATAATTAAAAATTATAATTTTTACATTATATATATTTTTTAAAAATTTCTTCTCTTAAAAGAAGTATTTTTCTTTATAGGATCTCTAAATAGAAGCTAAATGATCACTTTGAAGTAATGCTGCTTTAAGTCAAAGAGTAACAAGTTTGGTATCCTTTTTGTTTTCAACTTATGCTCTAAAAAAATAAACAGACAAGGTTTGATTTTCTAATTAATTTAATAAATAAGAGAGAAAAGATGTTTGTATGTAATAGTTTAACAAAGGAATAATTAAAAAGGAACATTGAAATGTATTTTAATCCTAACTATTTATGTCTTACATAATTTTTAATTTTAGTGCATTAATAAATGAATGTCATTTGTAAAATATTCGGATTAAAACCGTGTACATACATTCTAAAAATAATTTTGAACAAAAGTTCATAAATTTTTATTTTAATTTAGAAAAAGTTGTGTGAAAACATTTTACCGTGATTTTATCTCGCATTAAATTTTAAAAAAAATTTAATCAAATCCTTAAGATTTGTGTTGTATTTTAAATAACATTTATATTTGTTTTCCATTCTCCATATGCAAAAGTATAAGCACATTTTTTTATTGCATATGTTACAAATCGAATTTTTTTATGTTTGTTGTTGTTTCTTATCCCACTTGGCTGGTTAAGCTCACGAGCACATACGTACTCATGATTGAAGGGGAAGGAAGCAGCTTCTGTTGTGATGGAGCACTCCGTCGGTAGAAGTCTGACTATTGCTCTGTGACGCTCTTACAGTCATATGAGACCGGGACCTACGGCTTAAAGTGGATTCCGAACCACTGCAAACATCCATGGCACCGCCGGGATTCGAACCTGAAACCTGTGGCACCGAGCGCCAGAGCGCTAGACACTCGGCCATTCAGGTCCCAAATTTGTGAATGCCAACGGCACCCAACTACTGACCGAACTCAATGATGCTTGACTTCGGTGATCTAACGAGAACCGGTATATTCAGCATGGTATGACCGTTGGCAGAATTTTTTATACTCAAATATATATATATATATTTTCCAAATAATATTTTAGCCGTATTTTCAACAAGTACAACGTTTGGCCTTTTTTAATATATTAATTAATAAAATCGGGAGAATTATATTATATATAATATTAAATTACACGGAAAAACGAAGCTCCTGGTGTCAGACGCCTAGACCTTAACTCAAAGACAGGAGATGTTGATAACCTGGGAGAGGAGGATCTTAAAAGATATATTTGGAACTATCAGAGAGGGTGATGTTTGGAGGAAGCGTTACAATTATGAAATTACAAAATTATTTTGAGAAAAGGACATTATAAATTATATAAAGTCAAAGAGAACTAATGGTTAGGACAGATAAAGAGAATGGAAGTTAACAGAGACACAAAGAAACTTTTCAAGAGGAAATGCCAGTTCCAAAAGGAAAAAAGGAAAGGCCAAAGAAAAAGATGGATTGATGAAGTGGAAAGGGATCTGAAGAACCTAAAGATCACAAATTGGAAAACCAAAGCTCGAGACAAACGACTTTGGAGTCGTATTGTTAGGGAGTCATGGTCCAACATGAACTATAATGCCGGGGATTTAGTTAATTGATAATATTAAATTAAATTTATTGAAGGTTAAAAAAAGACACCATAAATTAACTATGCCTTAAAAAATATAATAATCATGACAGTTTAAAATTTAAACTTAACAAGTTATTTGAATATTGCCATTACAGGCTATATATTGACATTAAAACCATATTGAACACGGAAAGGGAATAGTTTTTAAATATTAAGTGAACTCAGATAAATACAAAGGTATACATGTATGCTCCATTTGTCTTATTTCTAACTCTTATGTCTTATATTTTCTTAAGTCGTATGTTCAGTAAGCTATGGACCTTTTAGTGGTGTTCTATAAATGCATTATTTTTATAAGTTTTTTTAGTAGATTTAAATTTTTGTACATGATAAGGATGATGATTTTATACATGATAGATGTCCTGTTCAAAAGGATTTAAAAATATATTTTAATAATTTTAAAGATTTTGCACGTTTTTAATCAGTTGGAAAAAAAAACAATTTCTTACAAATGAATTTTTAGTATCTGAGAATCTGTATCTAAATGTTTTTGAAATTTCAGTCTATGAAATTAACTAACTACTCCTAAGTTAATGTTTTGCATGAACTAAATAACCATCCTCAAAATTGCTAATTATTTTTTTGTTTTACCATTCATTTAAGGATCTTTACAAAGATTTATGCTATATTAATATTAACTCTGCAACATACCCATCAAAAAGTCCATTTTTTTATTTTTAGTTGCGAATACCATAATATCACCGTTAACTTAAATTAAATGGGTAAAATTTTTCATTAGGAAGTCTAAGAAATTTTTAATGATTTTCATAAAGATTTATTTAAAGTTATTAAACTTACAAAAAAGATCCACTTAATACCTTTTATTGTTGTCTTCCTAATAAAGTTACGACAAAAAAAATTCATTTTGAGGAAAAACTGGAAAATAATTTAATTACTCATCTATGCAAAGTATTATGTATTGTTCTTAATACAGCACGTGACGAAAAATAATTAAATATTAAATATTATAACTTATTAAATGTGTGTGTATGTTAAGCAGTATATAGTTTAATTCAGAAATATGCATAAATATCTCAACAATATTTATATAAGAATTTATACTATCGCAATGAATTTAGAGAGTGCTTAGCACAAAAAGCATTTAAAAATACAAACTACAGGAAAAAACTTAAATAAAGTAAAATCATTATTCATATAGTATAAGAAACATGTTTATCATATATTGTTCTTTTTGTATACAGTCAAGTAAAGGCGCAGTTAGTTACAAATGAAGAGATGGACTATTTAATGCCATAAATTAACTGTAAATGAAGAGTATTAGCTATCAGGATAATGAAATACATTCATTTCTGCTGGCTAAACAGAAAGAAAAATTGGGATTCAGTTAAATGCATGCAACATAAATGTATTCATAGCTGCAATTTACAAAAAATTCGCATAAAAATTAAACTATTATTGAAAACATTTCTCAGTTATAAAATGCATTTAATAGCACTAAAAAGTAATACATACAACACAATTATATAACTATCCATAATCATAACTTGTAATATATTTTACATATCATAATTAAATAAAAGCTTATTTTAAAAATAAAATTGCATTCAAAGCAAAACTCTAAAACTTGTTATGTAGAAAATGTGATGAATATAATCCGTAAATTTTTAGGGTATGAGACAGGCATTCATAAAAATCAGTCTTAACAATGGTATCATGCATTGCAATAAGGATACCGAAAACTAATAAAAGGTGTAATGGTGTAAAGCCAGCAGCGATCTTCTCCGTGGAAAAAATTCATCCAATAAGCTGCAACAAATTGAACTCAGTCAAAATGGCAATTAGTTTTACCCTCGGAAAAGCATCGGCTTACTTCAAATAAAGACGTTCGTGAAGAATTATGTTATATAATAATTAACGAACAAATTTCCCAAATGTTGAACAAACTTTCCCACCGAAAACTCATTTCTCATCTTTTACGTCACTTAAAACCAAAATTTCACTACGAGCTGTATGGCTTGCAGTCAAAAGGGATCGGGTTACTTGTCTGGGGAGGGGACAAGGACTGTTTCTTTTCGGCCTGAAAGAACTTAAAAAAAAAGAAGAAGAAAACTAATATCTTCATTGCTCTGACACCATTCTGAGTGGACATGACAACATTTTGATACAAAACTTAATCATTGACTTATGGTGAAAAAGAAGTTTGAATATGCAACGATGTATTTAGGGAGCTTTTTTTTTTTTTAAGGAAAGAGGACACGACAAAGTGCGCAGGACAGTCTTTGATGCAGGACCGGGACCTTTGACACTGTTGGGTCGTCGGCAGGTCTTTGAGATCATGCAGGAAGTGGCGACACTAACAGATAACAAATTTGATGGTGGGTTACATAGCAGCAGCAATTAAGACAAGAGGAGGAGTTCAAGTCCCATTCATCTTCTTTTGGATGGCAGCGCAGCTGGGTTCGGGGGCACACGTGTTTTTTCTAGGACGACCCCCTCGTAAATCTGCGAAGTCAATACTAGACAGCATCATTTTTTTCTTCCTTCAGACCACCATCGTTATAACAAGATCTTGACAGCATTTTCGGCAATTAAATCGCCCTCAAATTCGTTCATCAGCCAAACTTTTACTGCGAGAGAAATGCCGTAAAAGCGAAAATGTTTACGCAAGGTTTTTTTTCCCTTCAATCCGATCCTTCATCTGGTTAGCTTGCTCGCTTGCTTTCTGGCGAGCAAAAAAGAGGAATCTTTGTTTTGGCTGAAATATGCGTGGGATTGAGGCGACACGACCAATATGGAAGGATTTCGCAATTAATAATGAATTATTAGGATGGCTTTTCTGCCGGGAGGTAGTTTAATATGCAGCGGCATATTGGATTTCGAATTGCTGAATCACTACTTCAAAAGATGCCGTGTTAGTTTCCTTTTCCTTTTTGTTTTGCTTCGTAGCATCATAAATTTTGAAAACTCTTCAGAGGTTTGATTTAGCCGTCCAGTAACCCAACTCGATGTCTTCAGAAATTTATGTTTATTTTTTATGGCGAGGTTGCTTGAACTCCGTGCTTGTAAAAGGAGTTCTTGACTCCCGAATAAAGTAATAAACTGCGTTTTTAAATTAGCTAGAAAATGTGTTGACTTTATACATGTTTATTTTCTCTCTTTATGTTTGAGTTAATCATCGAATTCTCCTCGTCTGTCTGTGAAAGGGTGGGAAAAGTTGCTTGAAATATATCTAAAAGTATCGTTTTACAAATCTGAAACAAGCTGTTAGTTTTGTTGCAGTTTCGAGAAAATTTATTTCTGTTGCTTTTTGCTCATTGCTTTTGATTGCATTTGCATTTTATTTCGTTTGCTTTTGATTAAATACTTTCAGGTAAAAAAAGAAAAAGAAGTTGATTAAGATTCGGCAATGGATTGGTATAGATTTTTAACACTTCATTAAATTTACAAATTGAATAATAAAGGAACTCGAAATGATGGAAAAAAAATTATACTTTCGTTTTTTTCTATTACGAAAATTTGGTGTTGATATTATGAAGTAAAGTATAATGTTGACAATATTATCTTTTCATACAATATTTTGGTGGACACATTACCAAATATGTATGTAACAAGCTTTCAAATCTTGTTTAGTTTTTAATAGTGGTAAGAAATTTTTGACGTGGTATATCAACTGTCACAAAAATTTATCTCTTATGCTTTGCCCATACACTGTTACAAGCAATAATTCAATTCCTAAAAAATGCATGGGTTATCTATTACAGTATTAAAAAAGAAAAACATAAATAACGTTAATTATATAGGCTACTTTTCTCCTGAAATCTTATATAACGTCAATTATTATAAGAATTTTGTAGTTGGTATTTTTATCAACAGTATTATTAGGAATAAAAAAATTTTGATCTCTTTAAGATTTGTTATGCATCTGTAATTTTTTTGTGCTATAACACCTCAGGAATTATTGAGGACAAATATAATTTATTAGGGGATGCAATCTATGATGTTTGTGTTTTACTAAATTGCATGATTCACCATATGCGGATAAAAAATTAGGAATTAGATATCATAATAATTCTTGACATGAAAATCTTTGTTAAAGAAGATGCTAATTTTTATCTCTCTCCCGTCTTTCAATATTAGGGATTTTAAACTGCAATTATTAGTCTGGTTTCTTGACTTTAATTTGAGTCTAATTCTTCATTTTAATTTATGATTTAGACAAGGATCTTTACGTATGCATAGAAATTTTTATTCTGTATACTTAACGTAATAAAGACACAACACTAAACTCTTGCGTTTATTAAATTGTGTAAAATTAAGATTATTTTTTATCTAATGGAAAAACTATTTTATCTGCCATCTTTACGTATTAATTAATATAGTGCTAGTTAATTTTAAAATTTACTTACA